CCGCGGGAGCGCAGAGGCACTCGGAAACTCCGAGCGCGCCCCGGCCTCCGCTCCGGAGCGCCGGGGGCGGGACGCGCAGAACCCGGCGGGAAGCCTACGCTGCGCGGACGCTGGGCCAGGGACGCCCGCGTGTCCCCCAGCCGGAGCCGCTCGCCCGGGCGCCTACCGGGCCAAGTCCCGGCCGAGGGACGCGGCGGGTCTTTCCCCACCCTTTCTCTGCCTTCGCTCCCTCCCCTGCTCTCTGCCTTTCTCTCTCCCTCCTCTCCACCTCCGTTTCCGTCGCCCCTCTCTCTCGCTTTCCATAGTTCTATCCCTTCTCTAAATTTCTATCCCGTTTCTCTCTTCTGCGTAGTTTTAATCTCTTTATATTTCTGTCTGCTCCCTCTCTACCTCCCTATCTCCTCGCTCTCTCCTTTTTTCTTCAGTGTATTTTCTTTCTTCTTCTCCCGGCTTCCACCCCCAGTTCCTGTGCTGGGGGCGAGAAGAGAGCTGCCTGGAACCAAGCCTGTGCTCCTGGGGCTGGGGAGGGTCCGTGGATCAGTGACCGCACAGTTGGCAGCATTTTGCGCGCGGGTGAGCTACACACAGACACACAGACACACACACACACAATCCACCGTGCTTGAAATTTGCTGGCAGTTCACTTTCCTGCCCTGTCATGGGCCATAAATGCTTTGGAAAGGTTTACCTTTCATCTTGGGCTCTGTCCCTAAGCTGCGGAGAGAGGCACCTATTAAAAGGGTGGTTCGAGTGGTTTGAAGGCAACACCTGCTCTCCAGGTAACGCACCCAGGAGTCTACCGGGTGGAGGGTGGATGGGGTGAGTCGAGTGCTGGGTGTTCTGCCTCAGCCAGGGTCAGGTTACCTGAGAGGTAAACATGGGATCCTGTGTCCAGATCCTCAAAGCGGCTTCTAGGCAGTGACGGTCCCTGAGCGCCAGGCCCCCTGCTGGCCTTCTCTGCTGCCACGTTTCTCAGGGGATGGTCACTGAGGCCATGGTGACATCTTGCCACCTCAGGCTCTGCCCAGGTCTGAATCACCAACCAACAACCCCCCCCACCCCCCGTGTCCCAGACAGGAGGCAGGGAGAGCTGGCTGTGCGGTGCTCCTAGGTCATCCTGGTAATGGGGACCTGGCAAGGTGCTCCGGACACTGGGGGCCACTCCTCCACCAGCTTACCCCCTCTGCCAGACCTGGGGTTCTCGGGGTCCCAGAAGCCTTAAGAACTGGTTTCTTTGCAAGGTAGCCAAGGGCCGGGGCTTTGCAGGTCTGTTTCTTGCTTTCAGATACACTCTTAAATAGCTTTCTGCGCTGGGGCTGACCACAGTATTCCCCGATTGGTAGTGGGGAATGCAGTGCCCTAAATCGTGAGGGAGATGTGGCCGTGGCAAGACACAGAAACAACCCCACCCTTTTTGACTTTTGAATAAAACCAGTATTTCTGGAGCACTTTGTAAACTGTAATTGGTCATGCAAGTAAAGGTTGGTTCTCTGTACGTACACACGTGTGTTTGTAGGTAAGTGTGTACACATGTGCACACATTTAGTAGTCCCCCGAGGTTCATGGTGGAGGCGTGAGGTTCCGTGTGGGGGCACTGAGATTGGCTGGCATTCGCTCAGTCGTGTGAATCGGAGACAGAGAAGTGTGTAGCTATGCTTCCTTCCTCCGGGCCTCAGAGACCCATCCATTAGACGCTATCAGTCTGCACGTCTCGCACGCAGATGAGAGATTTGCCTAAAATCCCTGTGAGAACCATTAGAGCTTGGTGTGTGCCTGGGGTGGGGGGGCGGGTGCTAAAGCTGATGGATTAAGTCTCTTGTCCCCGCCCACTCCTGGAATCCCTCTGTGTGGTTCTGGGGTGTAGTCTCAGACACATTCTTCTTTATAAAAATATCTGCAGCCTGGATATTTATTACATGATCTTATTTCAAGTAGTGGTGTCTTTTTGGGTTTATATAGTCATATTTGTTTCTCAGCAGAATGGGGAAAAGAGGGTATTTCTTCTTGGGGCATCTTTCCTGGTTCCCTTCCCTCCCCATCACCTTTCACCCCTTCTTTAATGGTATTTGGAAACTTGGAATGATTTTCTTCCTTCTAAACCTGTTGCCATCTTTCTAAGTGGTGTCCTAATTAAGGGTTTTGAGGCAGATTCCTCTGAGCTTTCTTAATTAAACGATGGCATGGTGAACATTACTGTTCATGTACAAAGAACAGTAAAACAACAACAGAAAGTTCTAGATGGGCTAGTTGGACGATATTTCTGTGTCTAACGCACATCAGTCGGGTGCCCTGTTGATACACCCATGTTGTGGCAAATTCTTACAAAACCTGCAGTGTCCTTCAATTGCAAACTGTAATAGGACTTACTGACCAGCATGCAATCGATAAGGAAGTAAATGACTGACTGGTAAGGGCCAGCTGTGCGTTTAGGACACTATCACTCAAAGTGGAGAGCCTCTGTGTGGGAGTCCCGACTTTTTTGGGTGAGGTATCTATCCACTCAAAACCGGAGTCTCTACAATCTAGCTCATAGGTTATGCCCCGTCTCCTGATAGACTTTCATCCTAGTAGGGGCTCAAACCCATGGCGGGGGGAGGGGGCATTCCCACTTGAAGAAAGAAGAAAGGGGGGATGTTCAGGAGTCGTCCCAACCTTATCTTTGAGGGGCCACTACAGTTTGTGGCAGGGATTCTCAGCCCTGGCTGCATGTTAGGGTTATTTGGGGGAGATCTGGGGGGAAAGAAATCCATGGTGGTGAGCCCAAGCCAAGTTGGAAGTGCTACAGATGGGGTTTTGGGTTCAGCCACTGGTTGAGAACCGCCAGTTGAGTTTCAGGTGAAGGATTTCAGATGAGAAAGACCTAGGTGAGCCCCAGTTCTGTCCCTCACTCCGTGTGCAGTGGGACCCGTCTTCACCTGTGGGTCTTGCTTCCTCGTGTCTAGAATGATGGAAACCATAACGACTCCTGCTGATGGAGGCTGCTACAGGAAGCATTTTTTACACCCATCCCCTTGTAGTTCATCCTCCCAAGAACCTTGATGAAGCATCCCTCCATTTCATGGGCAAGGAGGCTAAGACGCGGAGAGCTCAAGTAGCTTGGCCAAGGTCCAAGGAAGTGGTGGGGCCCTGCCTCGAACACTGTTTATTTGACTCTGTGCTCTGTCCTCTCAGCTGTGTGGTATTGCTTGCCTCCCAAGGTCGTCAGATGATTCACTCAAATGCCCAGTTCCTCCCTATTGCCGGCAGAGACCGTGTCAGATTAGGAGAGCCATTCGTTGGACAAGGGTTTGTTAGGCATGAGTTACAGCATGCATGCAAAGTAATGGATGATTTGGTATCCAGCAGTGGGACAGAAGAGCTTTCTGGACCTCCCTTCTCTTACCCCAGGGCCAAGTAGGTGAAAACTTCCCAGCGAGCCCTTCTGAGGTGGGGGGTGGGGGTGGGGTCACAGAGGCCTTTGTGGGCAGTGCTCGGTTTGCTCTTGCAAACGTTCCTGTAGATACATGGCAGGGGGGACTCCTGCCGGAACCGTCTGGGAATTGACCCCGTCCGCATCCGCAGCTTGCCCTCTGTCTCAAACACCCCTTCCACTCGTTTCCCTGGAACTTTGCATTGAAGCATGATTACCTGCTTGCAGAGAAGAACACCAGTGACTTAGCATCTTTTGCAGTTGGCATTTTGGTGGGGTGCCTTTGGGTGGAAGGAGGCATGGGAGCGACAAAGGGTGTCTTCCAACAGTTTCTTTTCTGAGCACGGGTTGTGGGCGTCGGTGTGGTGGGTGAGGACAACTGCTGAGTGCCTGTTGGTGTCCGTGCGTTACACGCTCCCCGAGAGGCAAGTCGTTGAATCTGGGGAGTAGGGCCGGAACTGGAGCCCTCGAAGGCAGCCTCTGTGCAGGGCGAGGGGCTTTACCCTGGCCCATCCAGCTGACCATTTTTAGGACCGGCCACTCAGGTCGCCCCATCGTCTGCTGCTCACTGCCCTCAGCAGCCGGCCTCTTGGTTCTCACTTGCTTTGCTGTATCCGCCGGTACAGCGGTGCGCCTGGCTGTGGACAGTTAGCCCTTAGCTCAGGTGCTCCCCAGGGACGCTGACTCTGACTGCCCAGTTCACACTCACCCCGTGGCCATGCCCAGCCCAACGCCAGGGCTCCACGCGGACGTGGGCGCTGCTTCCTCATGGCGTTCAGCACGCTCCGAAATGACTGTGCCTCTGTGTGCTGTCCTTTGTCTCCTCCCCACGCCACCCCAGACCAGGGGCTTGTCTGCGCAGCGCCTGGGCCACATAATGCTCAGCGCTCACAGGGCACCCGGCACGTGTGTCTGTTGCGTGAATGAATGAATGCAATGACAGGAGTTGAGGGTGGGCTCCCAGAACTTGGTGACTTTCTGTGAGCTCTTGCTCAAGTGTCAGCCTTAACCCCGGATGAGGCTTTTTTAAAAAATTTTTATTTATTTATTTATTTATTTATTTATTTATTCATTCTTTAAAGATTTTATTTATTTATTTATGAGAGGCAGAGGCAGAGGAGAAGCAGGCTCCCCGTGGAGCAGAGAGCCTGAATGCAGGACTCGATCCCAGGACCTGGGATCATGACCTGAGCCGAAGGCAGACGCTTAATTGACTGAGCCACCCAGGCGTCCCTGGAGGAGGCTTTTAGCTTGAGCTCCATCCCCCTCCCCCCACAAACCCCAGTGAAGGTGTTTACAGTCTGTGAACCCAGCGGTCTTTAAACAACTGCTTCTTTCACCCTTCAGCATAGCAAACATATGTGTATCCTCTTAAACATGCTTACGTGGACATCTGAATACATCCGAGTATAAAAACTTTGGGGGGTGGGGGTCAAAAAGAAGTTAAAATGTTAAACATTTATGTAAGGTGAAATGAAACACATATGAACTTCTGGGAAAATTTTGTTTTAAACTCCACACATATCTTCCCTAGCCCCTGTGCTGTTGGGGGAGAAGAGGAGAGAGCAGAGTGCCAGGGAACGTGGTAGGAGAGGTGGAAGGAGGCGCTCGTTTTCCGTGGGTTAAAAAGGTCTGCAGAGAAGAAGAAACTGAGGGTCTAGGGGGAACTGAGGCAGGGGCAGGTGATGATAGCATTAAGGCACTTGAGCTCACCTGTGGGTTTAAAAAAAGGGCAGGGAGGGGTGAAGGAGAGTAAGACTCAAAATTTAGTCAAAAGGTTTCCCTGCTCTGAGACCCGGCCCCTCTCGCAGCTCCACTGAATCTTGTGCGAGAAGCCAAAGGAATAGGGAGAATGGCTTCTGCTTTGCCGAATAAGAGAGGGATGATTTATTCGGGTTTGAGGTTCAACTTGAATTCTTGGCTTAAGATATTTACTCTGCCATGTCCTTATGGTTTTTTCCTCCCAGAGCATCGACTGCCAGGGATTTGTGGATATGATTACTTGGTAGTAGAACTAATTCCCTATTTATAAATCAGTCAGCCTTTGTCTCCACTTACTTGGCATGAGTCCATCAAAAGTATTCCATGCGTGTGCACAGCTGGTGGGGGGGCACAGAGAGAGAGAAGAGAGAGAGTGTGTGTGTATGTGTCCATCGGTCCTGGCATATTTGGATGCTCTTGGGAGCAGCGGCATGGTGGAGACAGATCCAACCGGTGGAGAGCCAGAGTGGCTCGCGGGAAGGATTAGAGTAAAGGTTGTTTCCAGGCATAAGCGAGAAGACTTTGCTCTTGAGTCACCTGCAACCGCCACAATGCAAACAGTAGGGTGTGTCTTACGTCCTCGCTGGTTTTCGGGAAGGCCATCACTTTTCTTTTCTTGCCCCTCGGACTCAAGAAAGCCCATTGGTGCTTCTATGCTCTATTTGCGTACTTCTGCTGGGCAGGGAAATGCCTGTTTTCTACAGACTTGTTTGTCCCCAGCTCCTGGGAGCTGGGGAATCCCAGCCAAGCGCTTTTGTGGCTCCTGAATGTCTCCTGGCCCCTGATGGCCTTTCTTCCTCCTCACTCTGCATGGAGAAGGTCGCTGATGGTCTAAAACATGAAAGAAGAAACAGCCCCCTCTATGCTTTGTTTCCTTCCTCCTTGCCCCCAGACCACAGGTCCAGGGGGCAGATCCTAGAGTAAGATGGTGGGTGTTTGGACGTGTCATCTCAGTTTGGTCACAGGCTGAGCATGGGACCGTGTTAGGGCGTCCAGCTTAGGGGAGGTGTCCTCCTTCAAGCCTGTGCCTGTCAGTGGCCTGGTGGCTCTCCTTCCTTCCCCATCTGGCACTCGCTTGCTCAGGAAGACACAGAGCCCCTGTCTAAACCTGACGTCTGCCTAGATCTGTGGTGTGATCACAGTAGCTTTGCCTGCATCCATGTGGCCGGTGCCCAGGAAGCAATGCCACGTAGTTGCCCGGGAGACCTAGCTTGACTGTGGCAGCCGGCGAGCACCAGGCAGTGTTGCTGGGCTGGGGGTGGGCAGGTGGCTGGTCTCTTGCTCCCAATGGGCGGCCCCTGGCACTCTTGTCACCAGGATGCTGGAGTCACCTTAGAGTCTCAAGGGCAAGACACCAGCCAAGGAAATACTGCACCTTAAGTGTCCAGACCAGGGTTCTTTGGGTTTCTTTCTTAAAACCCAGTGAAAACCTCTCTCCCTGGTGTTTTTTTTCTTATTGAAACACCTCTCCTACTGTACCTCACCCCCACTGGTGTTGGGCAGTCCCTTCCTTAGGCCCCCCCATAGTGCTTCTGCTCTGGGGTTAGTAATGGGGTTCCTGGCTGGGTTTAGGGGCCTCAGGGATCGGGTTGGTATTTGGGGTCAGCCCCTGCCATGCATGACCTCAAAGCAGGATGGAGACATATAACTGGGGGGCTGGGGTCTCTGGCCAACAGGGGGTCTTGGCCTCGCTGGACTGTAAAATGCCCAGGGCTTTGAGAAGAGAATGAAATAGGAATTTTTGCAGAATTCCTGAACGTTCACCCGGGCACAGGATTTTGTTCATCAGCGTGCACTGCTTCATCTCTCACACCTTTCTTTGTTCTCCCCCTAGCCTGTGGGCCGAAGCTGACCAACTCCCCCACTGTGATTGTCATGGTGGGCCTCCCAGCCCGGGGAAAGACTTACATCTCAAAGAAGCTGACTCGCTACCTCAACTGGATTGGCGTCCCCACGAAAGGTGAGGCCATGGGCCAGGGCCGGGCTGGTCACGTTGATTGCTGCGGTCTTGCTCGCCGACCCCTGAGACCGGGAGAAATGGCTGCCGGGACCTGCCTTGCAGGGCCACTCTGGGGCTGGCCTGTCCCCCGTGGCTGTGGGGGACCCTTTCTGGTTGTGTCACTCACCGCGCTGTGTACGTACCCTAACTTTGTGTTGGGGTGTTTTCCCACCTGCTGCTGTGTCATCCCCACTGCCCCCTCCACGTGCCGAGCTCAGCCCTCCCCTCCTTCAAGAAGCCTTCTCTGGCTGCATAGTCTGTGGGGAGCCGTGCCCCTCGAGTTCCAATAGCACTTCGTTGTGACATCCTTCTGACTGTCATAAAGTGCTCCATACCATCAGTTACCTTTTTATGACTGGTCTTCGCGACGACCCGGGGAAGGTCGTGAGGTCGGCCGAACTCCTTTGGGCATGTGCTGTCCCCCATGGTGCCCAGCGCTGCGTGTCACACAGTGAGTGCCCCGCCAGCACCTGGTGCTTCCGCCGGGCGCGGGCTGCTGGGTCAGCAGGAGAACGGCCGGTCTGGGCCCCGGGGGGGCCGTGCGCAGAAATCCTTGCTCCTGTCGCCGCGTTACGCGGTCTCCCGAAGCTGGACTGCACCGGGGCGGCGGGAAAGCAGGCCACCATGAGCAGCGTTGGGCCTGGGGATGCTGGGCTGCCTTCCCGGCTCACGGCCCTGCACGGGGGTCCACTTGCTGGTGTCCGTGTCTTAGCGCCACCTCGTTCAGGTTGGCGTGGGTGTGTTGGCGTGGTTTCCTTTTTTCGGGAGAGTTGCGGATGTGTGTGGCTCTTTCCTCCCCGGGGGTCAGCTGAGGGCCCTTGTCTTTGCCTCCGCAGTGTTCAATGTCGGGGAGTACCGCCGGGAGGCCGTGAAGCAGTACAGCTCCTACAGCTTCTTCCGCCCCGACAACGAGGAAGCCATGAAAGTCCGCAAGTAAGGCCCGGGCAGCTGCGGGGGCCTGGACTTCAGTTTGCTTTGCTTCCTGAGGGCAGGTTCTGTAAGAGAAAGAGGAAGTGGGCCTGTGGGAGGAGGTCCGGCCCCGCCTCCGAGTGTATTAGGGTCACAGGTCTCAGCCTCTGTGGGACTCAGTCCTTCATCTGCTCCCAGGGGGTCCGGTTCAGCTGATGGTTGACAGAGATCAACAGCCATGTCTCACTGAGAATGAACAAAATCATTTTTGTGGAAAATCTTCTGTTGACATTTGAAAAGGATTTTTTTTTTTTTTAAGCCCAGGGGGTCATGAAACCCAAGTGCCGTGGTGCCCAGCCCTGACAGCTTTTTAGACTCACGTGGGAGCTTGGGGCGATCCTGAAGCCAGCCCTACCCTACCTAGTGCCGTGGGAATCTCTGGGCAGGACCTGGGCCTCCGTTCTGTAAAAGCTCCCCGTGAGATTTCGGTGTGCAGCCAGCCACGAGCACCGTCTCCCGAGGGTGACTAGCCCCCCGTGTGAGGCCTGTGGGTCTGTGCAGGCCGGGCCTGGCAGTTTAACGGTAGGCTTGCTGGTCGCTCTGTTCATCGCGAGGACTGGGGGGCTGCTTGGGCGTCCCCCGTGGGCTGGGCTGGTCTGAGGCATGCATTCTCTTTCTGTGTTGCAGGCAGTGCGCTCTAGCCGCCCTGAGAGACGTCAAAAGTTACCTGACAAAGGAAGGGGGCCAAATTGCAGTGAGTCTGGGGACTTGGCCCATTCTGCTGCAGCACCATAGCAGGATGGTGCTCTGGAGAGAGGAGGATGTAGACGCCGGCCAGAGCAGTGCCGAGAGCCTTTGCAGGGACACCTCCAACAGGGACAGTGCCCCGGGCCTGAGAGTTCGGGGGGGCAAGGGGCTAGAGCAGCACAGGACCCAGGAAGGTGGTTAACCAGGAGCGGACTCGGAGCACAGCTGGTTGGTGTGCTCTGTGAGGGCCCCAGCCTCCGAGGCAGGCTGGACCTGGGGTGGCTCCGCCGTGGTAGCCGGGGTCCCTCCCCCGTACCTTGCTGTTGTTCATTTGCTTTAAGTTCTCTTCGCACCTGCCCGTCTGTCCCTGAGTGCCCGAGGCAGTGGGAGGGGCGGGAGGGGCAGGGCGTGGTCTCTCCTGGAACCACATTTTTGGCTTACACCCAGAGGTGACAGCTAGGCTGGCCTACTTGTGGTTTGGTAAATACTGTTCATCTCAAACTTGGGCTCTCTTCACTGCCCTTCTTTCTCCCTGTTAGGTTTTCGATGCCACCAATACTACCAGAGAGAGGAGACACATGATCCTTCATTTTGCCAAAGAAAATGATTTCAAGGTGAGCCAGACTTCTTGTCTTGCTCTGGAGTATGCAGGAGCAGGGAAAACAGGCACCTCAGGGATTGCCTGATACCCGTGTCTGGGGCACCTCTGCTCCATGCCTGGTTCTTTACCTCCCACTGCCCTTGTTTTGCAGCCTGCAGAGTGGGCCTTACTGGTGGGGGCTCTGAGGGGTTACCGTGACTAGGAAGCAGGGAGGGTGAAGGACTCGGGATTGAGCAAGTGGTTCATTTTACGTGTTTGGGTATTTATAAATGGGGTACTTCCTCCTCAGATGTGGTAATGACATCACAGTGACACCAAAGTCAGCCCTTTGTGTCAGTCACATTTGTTGTTTCCTAACTTTTCGCTTTGCTTTCTTCCAGGTGTTTTTCATTGAGTCTGTGTGCGATGACCCTACGGTTGTAGCCTCCAACATCATGGTGAGACCACACAGGACCCCACTGTGGGGTGGCAGTGAGAGAAAAGTGGGGAACCAGATCAGGCCCAGAGCAATAACTAGACACTGAGAGCAAGCTGACTATCCCAGCTTGTTGGTTTTGTCTGAGAGGTGGGATCCAGGAAGGCGGGAAGTGCAGAGTGGTATTTAATTTAGAAGCATGTTCTGTGACCTGGACTGGCTTTATCTGGGGTCCTTGCAGACATTTGGCAGAAAGCAGTCTTTGCGGGACATAAGAGATAAAGTAGGGGACTGGGAACAGTTTCTGTGAGTGGCAGTAGCTTGGCAGCTGGGTGGGGACAGGGCTGCTTGGGACAAAGGGCAACTCACCCCTCCAGATGGGAAAGGAGACAGCGTGGGCTGGACTCTTCAGCTGTTAAGGTCCTTAATCAATAAGAATGATCGAGTGTCGATAAAACTCCGTAGGACGCAGCCAGAGTAAAAGGCAGAACCCCCAAGAGTGGGAAGAATGGAGGTAGTAAAACAGTCTTCCTGCCTTTGCATCTGCAACATTCCCTTCTCCTCTCCCAGTGCGGAGGGGGAGGTTTACCCAGATCGGTTGAGGATAATTGGCAGCTTAATTTAATTAATTCTTAAATTTTGCCACTCGAGAACAATATATCATAAATGGAAACAGTTACCATGAAGACTTTATCACAGGTCACCTTCTCAAATAGATAATTTTCTCTCCAGCTTAAATACATGAGAGCAAGATGTGTCTCTAATGAGAAGCAGGTCTGATGCTTGCACAGGGAAGGCTCTGATTTGTTGTACACAGCGTGCGTCTTTAGAGGGTTGCTGAAGATTCACTGGCTTCTGGTATTGGAACTTTTCTCCAAGGTAGTGGGAATATTTACAGGCATTTCTAAGAAATGAGTTCATATTTCAGGAAAGGCTATTCAAATTGTGGAAAATCAGCCCGGATTAGTTTCAGCGCATCCAAAGGAAGAGGCTCAAACTACGGGGACGTAGGACAGAAGTTGCTGTGATCTGAACAGAGGGTTTTGCTGTGTTTCTCCGGTTTGGTTCTCCTAGTCCCACTTGGTAGCGAGGCACAGTGCAGGTGCACAATTAAATTTTCCGCAGCGAGCAGTCCCCACGTGCTCAGCTGGGAACTCACCACTTACCTCGTGCTCTGTTAACACATCTGGTCATTTGCCCCATTTCAGAAATCCGTGGCTCTGCTTAAGCCCGGAGGCAGCTCTGGAGCTTAGGCCTTCCCACTGCGCTCTTTGTGGCGGCCGTGCTAGGGAAAAAGGGGTTTGGGAACTTAGATTGTTTTTCACTGTGGTAAAATATACGTAAGACCAGATTTGCCATCTGACCCGTGTAAGTGTTCCAGCCGTGGCATTCAGCACGCTCACATCTCCGATGCAGCGGTCACCCCCCCGATGGGCAGAACGTTTTCATTTCCCCAGACTGAGACTCTGCACCGTGAAGCACCTAACTCCCTACTGAACTCGGGTTTTTGAAGAGTGTTGGCCTCTCTCGCAGTACTAGTTGTTGTAGAGGAAAAGAACACCTGCATTAACAAATTCTGAGTTTCCCTCAAATCTGCCCCATTGCTCAGACCTATCACTTATAGGAGATGGCGGGTCGGAGGGTCGTTTCTGCTTCACCTCCTTCCCAGGAGAGCAAACCTTCGAAAGGACAGGACGTGTGGGCCAGGTGGAGAAGTACTAATTGGGGACCAGTGACAAGCATGTGCTGCCCCATACGGGTGGTGGCAGGAAGAATGGTGCCTGGTGCGTAGGGCAGGGCCTCGCTAGCTTCTCCAGAGCGTGCCTTTGCTAACCGGCCGCCTACTGTGCTTATCCAAAACTCGAGTTCAGGGTTGGCGGCCTGGTGGCGACCTGGCTACTGGATTGATCCCGAATCGTGGCCCATTCAGATGTGTTTATTAGAATCCTTGTGGGTTTCCTGTCTCCATCCTTCCAGGGAGCGATCCTCTGTCTCCCGTGGGTGCTTTCCCAGTGTAATCATCCGGCTCTGACTCAACCCCTGGTATATTTCTTTTTTTCCTCTTAAATGCCGGGTAGGATCATCATTATTCTGAGCTGCTCTGTACTTTCCCTGTTTGCAAGCCCCAAATCCTGCTTCGTCTAAGCAGAAAGCCTTCACAGCGTGATTCATCAGCTGCCTCTTTGTGGTGTTACAGGAAGTTAAAATCTCCAGCCCGGATTACAAAGATTGCAACTCAGCGGAAGCCATGGACGACTTCATGAAGAGAATCAGTTGCTATGAAGCCAGCTATCAGCCCCTCGACCCCGACAAATGTGACAGGTAATTCCTAAGAGATGACCGTTCTGAGTCCCCCACTTTAGTGTTTTCTTGCTGTCCCCACAAAGCACTTGCTCCTGGATACTTTCATCAGTCCTCTTTTAAAACATCTTTTGAAAAAATCCTTGGGCGCCTGGGTGGCTCAGTTGGTTAAGCGACTGCCTTCGGCTCAGGTCATGATCCCAGGATCCTGGGATCGAGTCCCACGTCGGGCTCCCTGCTCACCAGGGAGCCTGCTTCTCCCTCTCCCTCTACCCCTCCCCCTGCTCATTCTCTTTCACTTTCAAATAAATAAATAAAATATTTTAAAAAATAATAAAAAAAATCCTTGATTGCGTATTCAGTGTCAATGTTTCAGGTGCTCACCATGTTGAGGTGTGGAAGGTGCACGTCGAGCTCCATCTTCCTCTTGTCCCTTTGCTGTGTCCTTTCTTTTCTGTTCTGCTCTCTTGCTTTGCTGTCCCCCTCTTCTGGGAAGCATCGGCCTCTTGACCACGCCCTGCACACTTATTCTCTGTCTCTGAGACAGCAGACTCCCATCTGCGCCCTCACAGAGCTCACAGCCAGACGTGGTGGTTTTGTTGGCGCGGAGTCTCTGCAACGGGCCTGGGGCCCCGGGGTTCACACGCGGGCCGGCTGGGCTGGGCTGTGCGGCCCGGGGACTGCGGGTCAGCTGCTTGCCTTCCTGTGCAGGGACCTATCCCTGATCAAGGTGATCGACGTGGGCCGGCGGTTCTTGGTGAACAGAGTTCAGGACCACATTCAGAGCCGCATCGTGTACTACCTGATGAACATCCACGTGCAGCCCCGCACCATCTACCTGTGTCGGCATGGCGAGAGCGAGCACAACCTCCAGGGGAAGATCGGAGGGGACTCGGGTCTGTCCAGCAGGGGCAGGAAGGTAGGGGGGAGCAGGGGACAGGGCGGGCTGCTGAGGGATGGGGTGTGTCCCCGGGTGTGTAGTGCACGTGTGGCGGGGGGGGTCCCTGGGTCTTTGGGGAGGATGTGCCTACAGGGGCTGCTCCTCAGTGGCTCCCGGGCTCCTCCTCACTGATCTGATGACAGCAGAGCAATGTCCCTGCCGTGGAGTGGGACGAGCCCTGCACTGCTTCTTGGGGGGTGAGGGGGCAGGAGCCTGAGTCCAGCGCGTGTCCCTCTTGTCCCGTGCCCTCTCAGTTTGCAAACGCCCTGAGCAAATTTGTGGAGGAGCAGAACCTGAAGGACCTCAAGGTGTGGACAAGCCAGCTGAAAAGTACCATCCAGACCGCAGAAGCCCTTCATCTTCCCTACGAGCAGTGGAAGGCGCTCAACGAGATCGATGCTGTGAGTGCCGGGACCCGACCTCGGCCGTGGGAGGTGGGGCGCGGGCGCGAGAGGGCAAAGAGGAGGTCTCTTCCCACCGAATCTGCCCGAGATGAGGGCCCTTGCAGACGTGCACGTGCTGTGTTGAGCGACGCGCGGTGACGTCTGGGTGTCCCCACCAGGGTGTTTGCGAGGAGATGACGTACGAGGAGATCAAGGACACCTACCCCGAGGAGTACGCTCTGCGGGAGCAGGACAAGTACTACTACCGCTATCCCACCGGGGAGGTACGTGCGCTGGCGGGGCCCTGTGCCTGCTCTCTGCGTGTGACAGCCGGGCCCAGTCGGCCCCCTTCCTGGCGACGGGGCGCGGTAGCCGAGGGGCAGAAGGGCTCTGCATCCAACCTCCCGCGTACCCCTTCCGATGCTCGTTCCTGGTGCTCTCAGCTCCCATCCAGTCTTCCTAAAGCGAGCCTTGTAAACAGCTCCAGGCAGTACAGTTGTATTTCCCCGTGAGCAGCCGCCAGATGCGTTTCTCTGAAGATTATGCAGTGATGTGGGAGACCACGTCAGTCGGGGCGATCATTCGCTCAGCACGAGGGACCCCCCGCCTCCCCCCGGCTGCAGGCGAGGTGGCAGACATGTGTCATCTCAGGTCATGTGTACTCACTGAGTTGCGGCCACGTGTGGCCCTGTCTGGTCGAGCGAGCAGGGGACGGAGCCTCTGCAATGCGGGGTGCTCTGGGGGTCTGCTGCAGGGCGCCAGGGACACTAGTGGGTCCTTGCGGTCTGCAGGCTCTCGGTCTTTGTCCTGCTCCATTCCCTTGTGCTCAGGGCGCTGACCTCCTCTGTGGCCCTGGCCCCCCCGTTCTTGGAAGCTGATTAGTAAGAGAAAGCGGGGGAACCACGGAGGGAGAGGCGTGAGTGGGAGCCGTGGTGGTCCTTTTTATTTTTATTTATTTATTTTTCTTAAAGATTCTATTTATTTGAGAGAGAGAGAATGAGAGACAGAGAGCATGAGAGGGAAGAGGAGCAGAGGGAGAAGCAGACGCCCTGCTGAGCAGGGAGCCCGATGCGGGACTCGATCCC